TGGAAGTTTATAAATATTATATAGTTAATATATTTTTATATTATTTAAATATAAAGTTCACCTAAGTTAGTCCTTCCGTCTACTAATGGAGAGAACTTATCTGTTGGAGGGGGGGCAAAGTAATGAACTACCACACGGCATTCTATCGCACATTTCATGACATCTTCCCATAAATAAGTTTCGTAGAAGTAGATTAAAAGAAACAAGAAAAGAATCATTCAGAAATGGGTTCAGAAAAACTTTATTTAAAATCAAAGAACCCCACATACCCCCCACATGTGTATAATAAATGAGATTTTGTTTCATGTTTAAGATAATGTTTTCTTGCTTTTTATGGAAAAATCTCATTACATGAAAAGACTCATAATTCTTTTTATCTTTCTGTCCTACCTTTTGCATTTGCTCTTATTTTTAATTAAGGTATTAAAACCTATTAATTGTATGTCTCTGTGTTAAATTATATCAGCTAAATCTTTATACCTGGAAGTAGAGAAACTGTCTGTATGGCTTCTAATGTCCCTTCTCCAGTGTCATGCTGTTACACGACTCTAATTTTGGTGTCCTTTAGTGATAGGTCACAAGTCACAGTGTCATGTTATTGTAGAAAAGTTACCTCAGATATTCTTCTTACAAGCTGAAAATTTAAGTGGAAATAAGCGTTAATTGGGGATAATACTTGGAATGGCCTATACAGCCAGTTGTATTGGCAGAAGTTTGTCAAATGGTCCTGCGTGCTCCAGTTCCCTTAGATAAGTACGGTTGAGTGTTGCCTCCATGGGTGAAGGCTTGTTTATTCAGGAACGGCCAGACAGTTGCTTGTTCAACTCTTTAGAAGAAGTTTAGTTTGTAAGTTTTAGAATAAAAATACCTCACAAAACTGCAGTTGCTCATTTGACATGAGACCTGGAAAAGTCTCTTTTACTGACTGTCTCATGTGCCATTTACTTTTTATTTTGCAAAGATATCTTCTACCGTCTGCCCTAGAAGCTCTTTTCAAATATTTTTGGATTGGGTGATACATGGAATGTCTTTCTTATTGTATTAGTTATCTGTTGTATTGGTTATCTATTGCTGTGTAACAAATTACCTCAGAACTTAGTGTCCTAAAAGACTGAACATTTATTATCTCAGAGTTGCTGTGGGTCAGAAATTTGTGAGCTGCTAAGTAGGGTTGTGCTGACACGGGATCTTTCATAAGTTGCACTCAAGCTGTCAGCCAGGTCTACAGTCAACTAAAGGCTTTACTGATGGTGGAGGATTCACTTCTAAGATGGCTCACTCACTTGTTGGCAAGAGGCCTCTCCATAGAGCTGCTTGAGTGTTCCTACAATATGGCAGGTGGCTTCTCCAGATCAAGTGATCCACAAGAGCAAGATGGAAGTACAGTGTTTTTTATCACCCAGCCTCAAAACTCATCCTCTGTCACTTTTACAAGATCTTAATTTGTTACACCAGTCAGCACTACTCAGTGTGGGCAGAGACTATACAAAGGTATAAATAGTAGGAATTGGGTATGATTGAGAGCCAGCCCACTAAGCAATAGTTTCTAGTTGAAGTTTGTTCGAGAGATTTTTTTTTTTTATGATTTTTTTTCTCTTAACACTGAGACTTTTATTTTTAAATTTAAAGGTAGGTATTTTATTTATTCTGTTATTATTTACTGAGTTTTGACTTTTGCTTTGTGTGCATGTTTTCTCTCTCAAATATTAGCAATTTTTTTTAATTGAGGTATAATTGACATACAACATTGTATTAGTTTCAGATGTATGACATGATTCGATATTTTTTTATGTTGTGAAATGATCACCACAATAAATCTAGTTAACATTTGTCACCATACATAGTTACAGAATTTTTTTTCTTACGATGAGAACTTTTAAGATTTACTCTCTTGGCAACTTTAAATTATGCAGTACATTAACTGTAGTCGCCATGCTGTATATTACATCTCCATGACTTAACTGGAAATTTTTACCTTTAGACCCCCTTCACCTGTTTCACCCACCCCTCACCCCCTACCTCTGGCAACCACCACT